TTGAAATAAAATCCATACAGCTTGAATCAGAATATGATCCTCTATTATCTACTATAAAAATATCCTTTGAAAATCAAAAAGAAATTTTTTGAAAAATTTTCGTATCCCTCCAGACCTTGTTTGGAAAACCCTTGTATTAAAATCGCCGTATCCGCCTACGGCAATTTTCAAAGCATATTTATATAGTCCGTAATAGAGGATCATATTCTGATTCAAGCTGTATGGATTTTATTTCAAACAAATAAGTTCTTCTAGTAATTTCCTAATGCAATTCGATGAATTTTCTATATAAAAGAGAGATCATGATAGTGGCCTCCGAAAAGGTTCAATATCTCGAGAATTGAACATTATCTTTTGAAGTGGTTTGCGTCAAAATTTAGAGAATTAACACGCTTATAAAACAACAAAATTTCATCGGAATCAGAAGTAATTAAATATTAAAATAAGCCAATTCTTCTTCAGAAAATCATATCAGAAATATAAAAAAATGGGATATTTTTCAAAACTGATTAATTATTTCAACTTTGATAAAAATGTTGAAAATTCTGTATTATGAGGATTGTAGCGTCACTGAAGCTCTATCGAATAGAAACAGATCAATCTATATCCATCCGATACAAATCAATCTGCTAGTCCCAACTCTTGCTTTTCAACAACCAATGAAGTCGTAATTGATTTGAAAAATTGAATATCCATGCTTTATGAAATAATGAAAAGAGAATGCAGAGTTTAATTTCGCCGATGCGTTTCGTGTTTATTTTATTACAATTTTCAAACACTCATCAGGGCTCTGCATTGCAAAAAAAGCAATTATTCAAACAAAAAATTTTTAAATGGATACTAATTATTGCGTATAAAAAAACCTACTCTAAATTAAAAACAAATGTGTGAACAATCAATGATGGCATTCTGTTCTTAAAAGAAAAACAATTTATTGCTTTCAACTGTTTGTCGTATAATAAATATAATCATAGTTCAGATAATAAATTAATTTAATTGCGTAAATATGGATTCAATGATTTCTTTATTTTGAAATAAATCTAATAAAAAAGTTTTTTTTAGAGAATCAATATGATGACAATGAAAATGTTATACAATTTCATTAAAAATCCATAAAATAAACAATGACATAATACAAAAACGTACAAGGGATTATGTTTGTTTTGTTTTTGTATTTATAATTGTGGATCTGAACGATCGCAATGTCGATCGATATTTGCTTTAGCTAGTTTTATGTAATGGTTATAATGCTATAATTATTCAGTCTATTTAAATATTAGTATATATCAAGAATTTCTTTTTTTTGTTGACATATATTCAACAATAGTTTCTTTTTTCTCGTGTAAATCTATCTATAATTGTCACTTATTTGGACAATTTCAAATTTCCATATTCATTTGCAAAGAGCATTCTAAGACTACGTAATTAATTTTTCATCATTATATTATCCTAATAAGAAATTTTACCAAAGCGGTAACATGAGACTGTTTGTTGAGATTATTATAAAAGAGATTCATCGATAAGATCTCGAAATGATTGATAATAAAAATAATTCCAGTAGATTTTTCACTGCATTGATTGGAATTACTATTAATTCTGAGTATTTAGGACAAGATGAGAAAACTCATCCTGTATTTGTTTTTACATTTATTTATTAGGATTTTGTTTTCATTCGTATAGTATTGTACAGACAGAACTATTCATATCCAACTTCTTTGTATTAATTTCATATTACTTAGGTTTCGTACCTCTATCTAAGTATAGATAGAAGTATCTGAATCTAAGGTTGCAGTACTCTAGTCATTGGTTATGAATGTTTCTATTGACACAATAAATAGTGATGATTTAACTATTGACTGACAAGAGTATTAAATGAAGAATATAAAATAACAAATAATGATAATTTGAGTGCGCACATTCGTACCTTGAGTTTTGGGTCTTTTTCTACGTTTATCTTTTTTTTTTTGACTGAAATATATTTGTTCTTATACAATGAGTACTCTCCTGGATTAACGATAACTACACTTTTTTACGTATCTTGTCACTTAGACCGAACTATTTTTTATTGAAGCAATCGGTATTGAAGAATAGTTTGAGTGTTCGAAGAAATTATAAAATATATTAATTATAAGATGCCTATAAAGTATAATATCTGTTTGACTTAATCAAAATCTAAAAGTATTGTTTTTATCTTTTTTAACATCATATCCTGTACTCATATTAGTTTGGTTTAACCCTTTGATGAGTATCAATAATCGAGTATGATTACTAGAAATTTTAGTTTAGAAATGTTATTTTTACTTAAAACTAACATAACATATAGCAATAAAATCTTGGAGAGAAAATATTTATAAGCCTCATATTGTCCAGCAGGTTTTACATTCACCCTAACCATAATGAGTCATTCATAAACTGGTCAATACAATCCCTTTCAAGCTAAAATAAGAAATTCAAATATGTTCTTTAGTCTCAACATTACTACTCATCATTGTTCACATCTTGAATATAAATTTTTATTTGTGCATAAATAAAAAAGCTTGTTAGCGCAGCTCCTTTGGGGCTTAAATGTGGAACTCACATATGCTCTTTAGCCTCATTAAATTAATAGAGAATATGTAAAATGAGAAACCTCTCGTTGACTATAATTGTTTTGTAGGATAATCGAAAATCAGACTAAGAATCTTTCTAATTTATGCATTTCGAACAGAATTTTTTTTTCTACAGACACCCTAGTTTTATTTTACATTGTTGCTATTCGCTCATTATCTTTCTTTTTTTTTAAATTCATTTTTCATAATTCAACATTGTTATCATTATAATCATTGAAATAATTGGCAAATAAATCTGTATTACATATCCATGATATTTATAGAAGTTCTTATGCACTATTATATATATTAATCAAGTCACAAACAATTATGTTGATTATCTTTCAAAATTATAACTTGATCAATTTTTAAAAAAACTAGCACATCTGACGCCTGTTATTCTTAATTACTAAAGGCTGTAATGGGGGTGTCTGTAATGGGGGCCTGTCTGTAATGGAGGTCTCTCGTTGCTAAGTGTCTGTAATGAAAAGGGAGGGAGTCGCCAAAACCTCGACTTAAAACTTACGCTCACAATTTTCTTCGAAAATATATGTGAGTTCCACAAAAGATAGTTTAAATAATATTTGAATAAAATCTTACCTTGTTTATTTTTCATCATAACATATAACAAAACAGCACTGAATAAAATCTAAAAGTGACATATATAGACATTTGATTTGTTGTTTTTTTATTATCGCATTGTTTTATAAATTCTATTATTTATTGTTCATATCACACACACAAAATAAACAAAAACAAAAATAAAAATAAAAAAAAAGAACACTTGGATTGTTTTTCTTTGTGCTAAAACAAGAAAAAGAAGGCTACAGACAGTGTTTTTGTTTCTTTTGATGATTGATAGCACACGTATATGACGTATAAGGATCAAGGTATAGTGTGCATATGTGTATGTGTGCATGTTATGTACGAGCCAAAAAAACAGATAGAGAACATCATCAATAACGATAGAGAAAAAGAAAAAAATACAATTAGTAGAGCTCAAAGAGGAGAAAAAAAGAAAGAGATTCTTTGTTTTTGTACACCCTCAAATTTATAAAAAAAAAAGCGCAAAAATGTTCTTACAAACAACATAAAATAGATTTTAATTTTGTTGTGTTGCTTTTAAATAATTTATTATTGAGTCAAGTGGTGAATTATTTGATTGGTTTTGTTGTTGTTGAGAATTGGATGGTGCACCAGGACCTAAATTTTGAATATTTAATTGTTGAATTGGCATTATTGTTGGAACATGTGTATTATAATTTGCTTGTGAAGATGATGATGATGATGATGATCGACCATCATTTAAATTCATTAGATGAGAAGAAAGATACATAGGTGAACCATAATAAAGATGATCACGTCTCGCTCTCATACCACCCCAGGACGAGCATTACGACAGTGGTAAACGATCGTATACTATGTGGATTGTAATCGTATCTTATTCAAAATTTTGCTACTTACCCTCCCCCTCCCAACTCTCCAAGGGTGGAAAAATCAATCTTTAGGGTGTCTAGTCTGACTGGAGCTCCCAATTGTTATTTCTCATGCAGCTTTGATGATATATCATCATACTGTTTCGATATATCATCAAAGCTGCATGAAAAACAAGAACTTGAACCTCCAGCCAAATTGGACATCCCCATTCCATTACATTGATACTTTATGATTTTATTGATCCTTTTAACAATCTAAAAAATAAAAGAAAAATTTATTTAATGTACTGCATCTTACCGTGCATGACCCATATGAAGAGTATCAAATGCTGTTTTTTGATAACTGAAGATACGTATAGAACTTCTTTCCATAACGGGAATAAAAATTTTCTAAAATAAAAATTTTAAATTTTAATCAAGCTGATAGAAATTTTTTTTATTACTCTGTAGTTAACTGAATTATCGTATAAGCAAAATGGTTTATATTTTTTAAGTGTATAATTTATTGATGTTGACGATGTCATTTTCATTAATGATTATCTAAATAAGAATAAGCCGATAGCAAAAAGATGACACACGTTAATTATGTGAATCGAGTGAAAAAAAATGTTTTATTGTTCTATGTTTAAAAAGAACTGATATATCTGTTCTAAGGTGGATGGAAACGTGTATATTTTGCACTTTTTCGATGAATTTCTATTTCAAAACTTTTATATTGATTAAGTTCTTTTCATACAAGTTATTTATGTTGGAAGTGTTAAACATGTCCATGATTTGTCAACATGTCAATTAACATCATCACATATTGATACATTCAATATAATCTCAAAAACCTGAGCAAATCTATCGATGGGATCAAGCAATGGTGCTTCATTCATCCACAAGACTGCCATTTTAAAAGCATCTGCATATTAATCATCGAAACAAATTTTTGATCAAACATAAAATAAACAAAAATTCAATCTTGAAAATTTTCTTGTAGGTATATGACGTTTCACAAGTGTTGGTGCATCAATTAAGATAAAAATTAATTTTTTCCATTCGGTTTAAAAAGATCTGTTATTGAATATAATTCATAAACATATGTTTCATTTATTTGATCATTATCTAACAAATACCAAACATATCCATCAATTCGATCAATTACATCACCATAACTATTTGATGCTCGTATAATATATCACTTTGATAACAGTGCTTGATTTCAAGTTTATAATTATTTCTATTAGATTTTTTAAAATGTTTTGCTGATTGACAAATTTTATTATCATCGCGAAATCGATAATGGATTTAGTTTAAAATGAAAAATAAAATAATATAAATATATACCAAAAGACAACAGGTGATCAGACAACAATAATACGACAGTTGAATTGAGTGTTCGTACTTTCCAAAGCATGAAGGTTACAAGGATGGAAGATAAAACATGAAGTAGTTTTTTGATGAGCTAAATTATTATTTTTTTTATTTAAATAATTTCGAAGAAAAAAAATGAGGAAAATGTTACCTGAGAAATTACTGCAAATATTGAATTCTTGTGATCCATGCTTTCGAAGTGCACTCCAATTAACCATATGAGCAAGAGCGATAGTTGTATCTAAGTATTCAATCTATACAAGTGTTAGCGGTTGTCCTTTTGGATCAACGCTAAGTTCGTTTTCTTTTCTTTAACGGAAAAATATGTATATGTGTGTGTGTATACGTACACTTGCACACCGTCTTTTATTTATCTGTTTTAAATGATGGAAAACACGTACATATATAGTGAGCGAGAAAAAGCGAAAAAGAAAAGAGAGAGAGAGAAAAAAAAGAAAGAGAACAAAGACTAGATATATGGATAACACAAGAGAAGACTAGATATATCACCGAGAAAGAAATGAAAACGAAATAAAAAATAAAATAATATAATTGAAAATAGATGGCAGTTGTATCAGTGCGATAACATTGTAACAACAAGAAATATTTATTATTAGAAATTTTTTAAGAATACATATCGATCTCCAATATATTGATGAACATTATCAAATCTATTTGATTTTATAGGTGAATCAAGTCCTGGACGATCTTTATATCCCCCTGGAAAAAAATAGTTAGACTCGGTATATTTGATATATTGTTACTATAAATTGACATTTTGAGAAAAACAATTATAGATTCGGATAGCCCGTGGAGTTCTCTACAACTCTATATATACACCTTTTTAATTGCACTTGTCCCCTAAAAATAAATTCAAGTGCATTAAAGGCACCCTCATCGTCAGATTCCCCAAAAATTTACAAGTCATTCATTTTTTAAAATTTATTTCAATATATAAACAATTTATCACAAAACTAAGGATATATTCTGAATGCACATCAAATTCTCTATCACCCCATACTTTCCCAACCATGATTTATTTGTGCACAAATATTAGGTATATTATTCATATACTCTTACTTCCCTATTTTATGGGTCGTATTTTGTATGTCTTTAATCAAGTGTGATTTATTTTATTAATAATATAACGACAACTGAAATCATGTTCTCAATACCACTCTAGAAGAAAATTCTGCAACGTTTAAAAGAGGCGCACGCCACTATTCTTCTTTCACAGAACAAATGAATGAGAATAATGAATGGCTACTGGTCTATTCTTTTTCTTTCCAGACGTTATATCCACAATCGGTTAACACGCGTGTCAATCATGTAGCTATTCATTTCTTATTTTGTTTCGAAACTGGTTAGTTGAGTACAATGAGTTGTCATCTATCTATCCGTGATCGTTGGCGTATTATCTTATTAAATTTTGATCAAGGACGAAGTGTACATGAAATAGCTCGTATGATACCTTGCAGTATTCAAACAGTCTATAATATACTTATGTTATTTCAAGAAACCAATGATGTTACGGAAAGAACTGGACGAGGTCGTCTTCATATGTTGAATAACGATGAAATTCATCGTGGCACGACATTTGCGCGCGTGACATTTGCGCGCCGACACTTGCGCGCCGACATTTTCGCGCACGACACTTGCGCGCCCGATACTTGCGCGCACGACTCTTCCGCGCAGCGGCACTTTCGCGCAACGACATTTTCGCGCACGACACTTACGCGTGCGACACTTGCGCGCAAAATGATTTTTTTCTGCGCTTGACTTCGTTCTGGGTTGGATATGACTACGGATGTGGCTTAGGAAATAGATGCTGGCTGTGCGTGTGGGCGTGAGAGCGTGAGGGTTAAGTATTACCCTAGTCTCAATTCTGACCATTCATTAAGAAATCCTGGACGAACCTTTCAGCATCCTGGACTTCAAGGATCTTGTCAGGTTTTCTTCAAGATCCTGCCGCAGTTCTTGATAATTCGTTTTTCCAGGGTTTCGCACGCGGTCAAGAAAAGTAAGCTCCAAACTGCGTAGACTCCAAATTGCGTAAAGTCTAAATTTGGAGCTCATTTTCTTCTCAGTCCCTCTGCTATGGTTCATAGCACCGCCTAGAATGCTAGTAGCATTTTCTGGAATGCTACTGGCATTTCCTCGAATACTAATAGCATCGCCTGGGATGCTAGAGCCATAACCTGTGATGCTGATAGCATTCCCTGGGATGCTAGTGGCATTCAGTGGGATGCTTGAAGCATTCCCTGGGATCCCAGTAGCATTCCCTGGGTTGCTGTTAGCATTTCCTGGGCTGTTAGAAGCATTCGCTTTGATGCTAGTAGCATTCACTGTGACCCCATTAGCATTCCCTGTGATGCTGGTAGCATTCCCTGAGGTGCTAGTAGCATTCTCTGTGATGCTAGAAGCCTTCTCCTTCATGCTAGAACCATTTCCTAGGTTGCTAAAGGCATTCTCTATGATGCTAGAAGCATTTTCTGGGACGCTAGAGCCATTACCGGGGATCCTAGAGGCATCTTCTTGGATGCCAGAGGCATTACCTACGACGCTAGTAGCATTTTGCGTCGGGCTCATAGCATCCCAGGCAATGCCTGTAGCATCTCAGGTGGTGCCCATAGCAGCCGAGAGAATTGATATTAGCATCCTAGGCAATGTTAGTGGGATCCCAGGAAATCCCTCTGGGATCCAAGGTAATGCTACCAGTACTCTTGGTGGTGCTATAAATCATAACAGAAGGATTGAGAAGAAAATTGAGCGCCAAATTTGGAGTTTATATGCGGAGCTCACTTTTCTTGGCTTTCGCACGTTTAGGCAGGGACCTATTTATGATCTATCCAGGTTTCTATCAAGATATTTTTCGAAATCATGAATGCAGGATCCTACAAGGATTCAAGCTTAATCCTGCTGAGTATCTTTACAGGAATAATAGAGATGATTCTTTCAAGATTTCATGCACTTCGGATGGAATCTGTTCAGAATCCTGATTGGATCCTGCTAGGAATCCTACCAGAATCTTGAAATTCTGTGACTATACGCTTCTTTCAGGATTTAGTCATTTCCTCAGGAAAAAAACAGCGAATTCTTGAAAGATCCTGATTGGATTCGTTAAGGATCAGACATAGAAACATCAAAGATTTTCCCTAGGGTAGTGAAGATCCATGAAGGATTGTCTTGAACTGCTGCTCTCCCATCGCAGTGACACCCACCTTCCGCCATCATCACACTCAAACCCAAACGAAGACTCATTTCATGAAAAGAAATCATTTTGCGCGCAAATGTCACGCGCGTAAGTGTTGTGCGCGCAAGTGTCGTGCGCGCAAGTGTCGTGCGCGAAAATGTCGGCGCGCAAGTGTCGGCGCGCAAATGTCATGCGCGCAAATGTCGTGTAATCGAAATTCATACATTACGACAAATTTTGTATAGATATCCAACTGATACTTCAAGTAGCATTGCTGATCGACTTTTACAACGAATTGGTCTACGTATTAATCCTCGAACAATTCGAAATTATCGCTTGTCGTTAGGTTTTCGTGCAGTTCTTGCACGAAGTCAACCATTAATTAATGCGCGGCATGCACAACAACGATTAACTTTCTGCTTATTATGTGCGACAGCTCGATGGAATAATGTCATTTTTAGCTACGAAAAAGCTTTTGAAGTAGATATTTCCGGTATGGTCTACTGGATTCCCTACGGCCGTCCAAGACCAACACATTATCAACATCAAGTTCAGTTTCGTGTCGCTGTTTTCGGTGCAGTATGGTATGATGGACGATCCAACTTAATTTTCATTCGAGATAGAACAAATACCACGACTTATGTTCAACATCTACAAGCAGCATTCCATTTACGTTTACGTCAAGTATTCGGATACTATTTCATACACGACCGTCCAACATGGGCGCATACGACTCTTGCACATGATTGGTTACGTAATAATCGTATTAGTTGTATGGATAACTATCCACCTGTTAGTCCTGATCTTAACGCAATTAAAAGCGTATGGAGTTGGATGAATAGGTATATACAAAGAAATCGTCCAAATTCTCAACAACGTTTAGAAAGACTCGTCCAACAAGCATGGAATAGAATGCCTCAAAATGTAATACGTGGATATATAAATAATATACCTAATATTTGTGCACAAATAAATCATGGTTGGGAAAGTATGGGGTGATAGAGAATTTGATGTGCATTCAGAATATATCCTTAGTTTTGTGATAAATTGTTTATATATTGAAATAAATTTTAAAAAATGAATGACTTGTAAATTTTTGGGGAATCTGACGATGAGGGTGCCTTTAATGCACTTGAATTTATTTTTAGAGGACAAGTGCAATTAAAAAGGTGTATATATAGAGTTGTAGAGAACTCCACGGGCTATCCGAATCTATAATTGTTTTTCTCAAAATGTCAATTTATAGTAACAATATATCAAATATACCGAGTCTAACTATTTTTTTCCAGGGGGATATATGTGCTTTTGGGTAGATGACTATCATAATTAAACATGAATCAGTCTGACATTCCTCTTCTCGATCTACCTAATGAAATACTACTTACCATCTTGAAAAAACTGGACAACATTGATATTCTCTATTCTCTATGTGGAATTAATAATGAACGACTTGACAGTTTAATACAGAATCGTATATTTAATGACAGTGTCGATTTTGTAATAACGTCATCAATGAGTGATGTCAAACTTGATCGATTTTGCTCTTATATACTTAGGGTATACCAAAAGTTCAGATCACAGCGTTACTTAGCC